TAAAGAATCATAATCATAATTAAACAATCAGTTGATTAAAGCTACGGATATACACTTAAATTTACATATATCTTAATAACCAGTTTGTTGGCAAAATGTTCTCAAAGATTCCCGCCCACTGATTTTTCTTCTTTTAGAGAAATAAGACCACAAGAATATACGTGGAAAACTCCAAAAACGGAAGAATAACTACGGGCCCACTTTACCTTTTTACAATCTATCAATCTGGGACAAAATCTTTCTTTCATATTACTGTTTTAGTCAACAAATCTGATAACAGGGTTTTCGTGTGAGTTGTCTCCAAACATGATATTTTGCTAATTTTCATATAGCTAACAGTTGCATTCTTTGTTTAACATCATTATAGATTTTTGAGTCCTCTTTCTGCTGCTCCTTTGGTGGCTCTTGCTGGTTTTGGGCTCTATGAATTTGGATTCCCCGGGGTAAGTATAAAAAAATTAAAGAAATCATTTCTTCTTATGATCACATGTTTAGCTAAATACATGAATTACACTTATCTTGTCTTTTTTAGGTTGCAAGATGTGTCGAAATCGGGCTTCCTCAACTCATCTTTGTAGTCGTCTTGTCACAGGTAATAATATTGTCATATTTTAATGCATTACTATGCACTTAATCTGGTAAGCTATATATGAGTCAGAAAGAAAAGAACGACTTAATACAAAAAGTACTAAATTTGGTTTGTTTGGTTTATATGTAGTATCTGCCTCATTTGATACATTCAGGAAAAGGGATCTTTGAGAAATTTTCAGTTGTGGCATCGATTGCAATTGTTTGGATTTATGCTCATTTGCTTACGGTTGGTGGGGCCTACAATCATACAGCACCAAAAACACAAACAAGTTGTCGTACTGATCGTTCTGGATTAATCGATGCTGCACCATGGTTAGTTACTTATTACACACTATTAATTTAGCTCTCAATTTTTTATTTTATTTTGTAACGTTTTTTTTTTTAAATACTTTTAAGGATAAGAATTCCATATCCATTTCAATGGGGTGCACCTTCTTTTGATGCTGGTGAAGCTTTTGCCATGATGATGACTGCTTTTGTTACCCTTGTAGAGGTCCGTTTGACCTTTTGACCTTTTTTTTTTCTTTTTGCTAATATTATTAAAGTCAAAATCAATATTATTTACATGTTTCAATTATATGATTTAGTCAACTGGTGGATTCATTGCGGTTTCACGGTATGCAAGTGCCACCCCTTTGCCTCCATCTATTCTAAGCCGTGGTGTCGGTTGGCAGGTAATTATAATTCTTTTGAACTTTTAGTTAAAAATAATTATGTGTTTTTTACAAAAAGAAAAAAAAAAGACAAATATGTTTTGTCTTTTCTTTTGTTGTTAGGGAATTGGCATTTTGTTGTCTGGCTTGTTTGGAACAGTAACTGGATCTTCTGTCTCTATGTAAGTGACAAATCTCAACTTTTTTTTTAGCTTCTAAATAAATCACTACTTTTATAAAAAATAAATAAATGAAGAGTTTATAATTTGTTATTTGCAGTGAGAATGCGGGTCTATTGGCTGTGACCCGTGTAGGAAGTCGAAGAGTTGTACAAATCTCAGCAGGGTTCATGATTTTCTTTTCGGTTCTTGGTATTTTATTTTCCAATTTTACCCTTTTATATAATTTTAAAAGTATCATATTCCTAAACTTTTGGAAACGATCGACAGGTAAATTTGGAGCAGTCTTTGCGTCAATTCCTGCACCAATTGTCGCTGCTCTTTACTGCCTTTTCTTCGCTTACGTGGGTAAGTTTACATAAATATCCAATCCACCAACCTTTTATTAAGTCGTTAGATTAGAAGTAACTCCGAGGGCAATTATGTCTTTTCATGTTTCTGTAGGTTCATCGGGTTTGAGCTTCCTTCAATTCTGCAACCTTAACAGCTTCCGAACAAAGTTCATACTCGGGTTTTCAGTCTTTTTGGGCTTGTCTGTACCCCAATATTTCAATGAATACGAAGCCATTAATGGATATGGCCCTGTTCACACTTCAGGAAGATGGGTACGTACATTAATAACCTAATTTTTTAGTATTTTTCCAAGATTTTTAGATATTTCAAGAAAAAATTGAAATCTAGGAGACCCCACGAAAGAAAGCTTTGATCTTGGCCTATCTATACAATAATTGACCTCGATTTATGTTATTTTTTTGTAGTTTAACAATATGGTGAATGTTCCATTTTCATCGGAAGCTTTTGTGGCTGGTGTTGTGGCGTATTTTCTTGATAATACACTTCACAAGGATAGTTCGATAAGAAAAGACAGGGGCAAGCATTGGTGGGACAAGTTTAGATCGTTCCACACAGACTCAAGAAGTGAAGAGTTTTACTCACTGCCATTCAATCTCAACAAATACTTTCCAGCTGTGTGATTTATATAATTACTATTGTTTTTTTTAGTCAAATATGTATCTAATCTTTGTGTTAAAGTAGTTCATGTTCAATTGTATCTCAACCGAGTGATTCTTAGAACATTCCCCAATACGGGTAAGATGGATCCAAAGGAGAAAGGTTAAGTTTTTGTTGCTTTCAAATTCTTACGAACATTGTCTCCCCACTTTTGTAATAGAAATCTTGATTCCTGAATATGTGCCTAGTTTTGAAATCTCATTATTTTATAATGGCAATCTTGATTTCAAAGGAAAAATTGTTCAACTAAATGTGTTGAGTCGTGGAAACCGATGGTTGCCTTGAGGCCCCAATGATAGAGGGAAGAAAATTAACTTTGGGTCTGGTATTGTATATTTATTTCATGTACTTGTAAACAGAATTATGATTACTTATAATCCATAGTATGAGCTACTTTAAATAATTATTTGAAGATAAAAAGTTTGTATTAATTTGAAAAACAAAGTCATTTTAAGAGAACAAATTGCATATAATGGACTTAAACGGTAAAAGTCCTCAACATTTAAAAGTTTTAAGTGTTAAGACATACGAGAGTGTATCTGTATAATCAAGAGACATAAGTGTTAAGACATAGGAGAGTGTATCTGTATGATCAAGAGACAAAGATAGAGCAAACAATTTTACATACATTTTAAATCTTAATTATACATCTAAATATGCAAAATCTAAATTCTATATTCGGTCTCTGACTAAGTCTTCAAATCTAATACATGACAAAATAATAGGATAGACTTGGAAAGCCCAATGAATACATCAATTCTTAAGGATATTAGATAAGTGAACAATCCATTCTCAAAGTCAAACCCCTTAAAGATTTTTAAAACTCAAAAGTTTAGTAAATACTTATCATGTGGGGAAAGACGCATTAAAGTGTAGGCATTGGTAAACATCAAAAACAAATCCACAATTTCAAATATGCAATGCATATGCTTCTACGTCCCATACTCAAGTCAATCTCAAAGTCCAACTCCTCACTCGTTATAAGGATGATAAATAATCCATGTAAAAGTAGTGAATAACACACTCTATATATATGGACTCTAATTAGGATCATGTGCCCATAACACATAAACCAAACAAGAGGTAGCTAGCATCATGTACAAGTGAGGCCTATCTGGAATGTCATCACTGTCATTGGTGCCAAATCATGCAAGCATTGGCTTGCCAATCATAGGTTCAATGAACAAAATAATACAAGCATTGACCTGCCAAAACATAGGTTCAATGACCCAAAATCAAAGTGTCCAAATCATATAAGTCATAACCTATCCTAAGTGGATGCACAAGAACATGTTTAAAGTGAAGTTTCAAAGCAAAAAAGTTTATCCTCATTTTAAAATCCATTTCATGTATGCACACATGTACACATAGCAATCACATAGTACAAACATATGATATTCCAAATAAAGGAGAATTTAGGTAAGCAAAATATAGTAATGACATGTATTCTTGGGTAATGAATTCACCTAAACTTGTTGCAATATACTACTTCACTTCCAATGTTGTTTGATTGTCTAGTTGTCACCTACAAATAAACATAACTCGAGTAATTACTAACTAATTAAATTCCAACAATCTCAATCCCAAACATCTCATTTTAAACATTGCATGTAATCTCTAAGATCATGGAAAAAGAATGGAAGCAACTGAAGTAGACTTGGACTTTAAACTAAAAGTTAAGTTTTCTTTCACACAGGTTTACTCAGTCGAGGGGAATTTTCTTTGTAACTCCACTCGGTCGAATGGATTTTCTAGACAACACCACTTCGAGTTGTAACTACTTTTAAGTTTCCACAACTTGTACAAATCAATTTTAATCCATTCTATTCCACTTCTAATGACCATGGATCATTAACTAACATCCAAATACTAGTTTCAAAACTTTGATTAATTTTATTAGAACTAGCAATAGCTTCACAATAAGAAATTATCTTCAAATGATGATTTAATACCATCAAACATGATTCTAATTGGTGATTTAAACTATATTTAAAATATAATTTGAAGTTTCAATGAATTAAAACACAAATCATATCAAATCTAAAGCTAGAACATGTTGTCATTGGCTTTTTACAACACTTGTCCATTTATAAAACAAAGTTTATAATTAAAATATATACACAATATATCTAATCCAGTTTATATAAAATTACAATTCTTTTATAAAATACAACATTTTATAAAACTTTTCTTCATTTTTATGAAAATTACTTCAGTTAAATATTTCAATAAATAAATTTGAACAAATACAGCTTCAGATTATTGAAGAAAAAGACATCGATACACGTTAATAATATTCCTTGATTTCCTTCGCTTGAAGACTCCTAAAGAATAAAAGAAACAAAATAACTAATATAATGAAAGTCATAAAATATAAAAAAGGAAACTAAAACCCTAAGTTCCCTTCAAAATTCCTAATAAGCCTAATTTTGGCACAAAAATCACCCCCAATTTTGCATACAAACCGGACGCCTGAACCCGACCCGTCCAGTTTGTAGAATCCGTTCATGTGCTCCTTTTCGGACTCGTTTGATTCGGTTCCGGGGCTCCCTGCATCATAATCGGTTCATATATGGAAAAGTGAATGATCTCCCACATCAATCTCTAAACTTATTCTTCTCATAACTTCATTTAGCTTCAAATTTATCTCTGTGATTCTAGGATGAAGCTTATCTGCAGCAAGAAATTCATTTACAACACCATCAATCTCAATATAACTACAACCCGGGGTTGAAGTCGAATCACCCTCTTTATCAATCTTGGATTCTCTTATCTTTCTTACATTATCCCATTGGCCCAAAGAAGCATACAAATTCGAAAGCAGAATATGCCCTCCACCATCTCTTCTTGTAACATGTTCAATAATCCGCTCTGCAAGACCTGCATTTCCATGGAGTCGACAAGCACTCAACAATGCTCTATAAATAACACCATCAGGTTCCATACCCATTTTCTTAACAGCTTTGAATGCATCTTCAAGTTCACCAGCGCGACTTAAAAGGTCTATCAAGCATCCAAAATGTTCAAGTTTGGGTGAAATCCCCCACAATCGCTCCATATTGTTGAAAATCAAGATTCCTTCTTGAAGTTTCCCTGAATGGCTACACGCATTAAGAACACTAACAAGGGTGATGTTATCTGGTTTGATGTTTTCTGCTAGCATTTCAGTGAACATCTGGAGTGCGTCTTTACCAAGTCCGTGCATAGATAATCCCGAAATCAAGCTTGTCCATGTCAGAAGGTCTCGTTTGTTTATTCCATTGAAAACCTGCTTTGCGTAATCTATTTTCCCACATTTTGCATACATATCGATTAGAGCAGTTGCGATGTTTGAGGTTTTTGGGACGCCATTTTTGTCTATGTAAAAATGGATCCATTTTCCTTGGTTTAGTTGACCAAGATGAGCGCAAGCTGAAAGGACGCTGACATAAATTGCTTCATTGGGCTCGACATCACCATTAATCAACATCTCATTAAAGCATCGTAAAGCATGATTATACATCTTGTGGCCGACATAACCCGCGATCATTACTGCCCATGATACCTCGTTTCTTTCAGGCATTTTCGTAAACAGTTCTTCTGCTTGCGGTATCTTGCCACCAGTTGCATACCCTTTGACCAGACTCGTCCAGGTAACTGTATCTCGTTGAGACATTTCATCGAACACTTTCTGGGCAGATTCCGTTCTTGAATACACAACGTACATATTTACTAAAGCGTTGCCTACACAAACATCTGAATCATACCCAAGTTTAATTACCATTGTATGACAGTTTTGAGCAAAACCCAACAGTGTCCGATGGTGTGAACAAGCTGTAATGGTAAACGTAAAGGTGTAATCATCTGGAACTGCTAAAGAGTGGCACCCACCAAGCAGAAGCATTTCTTTGAAAAGATGCAGTGATTCTTTATTACGCGCTGTTTTCGAATAAGCTTGAATGATGAGATTCCACAAAAAAGTGGGTGGTAACGATGGGTATCTACTGAATACCTTCCTAGCGGATTTAAGTTCTCCATGATCACTGTATGATCGAATTAATGATCCAGTAAGATTATTGCTTTTAACTAATGATCTAAATATGACCTGGGCGTGAATTTTCTTAGTTTGCTTCAGTGAGGGCCGGTGTTTTAACAGCTCATACAAACGAACCTTTGGTTGGCTCATGAGTTGTCACTTGTCAGAAAGGTGTTTGATGAAATGCGTTGGAGAAAAATATTCAATAAACCTATATCTGGCTCGAGGGTTGTCACGCATCACCTTATCTTTCAAAAAAAGTAGTGACAGATCCATAATTCTTAACCTTAGTATCCATACATATATATAACAAAATCGAAGGAAAATTGAATGGAAATATAACAAGACAACAGAAAAAACCAATCAAAAGCCTCAAATAATCACAAGAAGTCAAGAACCACACATCCTTACAACCCCACAACAACTTTATTCAGTAATGACAAGTTATTCACTCAACACACGCAGTCAAAACTCAAAAAGTTCAAATCTTGTAAATAATCTTCTTTGAACAACATAAGAAAAAACATAAACTTTAAAAACTCTGCTCAAAATATAATTTAACATTCAGAAACCCGATCTTGAATTTAATCTCAGATCATCAAACTTCGGTTGTGTTCTCAGTCACCCCATTGGGCACTCCATGATTTGGTTCATGTTGCTTGTCAAATTGGCTGAAATTTCCCTTTGCCATGAAAAGCTGTGCATGGTGATGCTTGCAATAAAGCTGATGCTCATGAGCCACGTAGTTTGATGGACTTATATGACACCCTCCATAGCTACACTTGAAACAGGCCTTGTGGTATGCATTTCCATCAACACCCACCTGAAAAAAGATCATCAAGATTGTGAATCTTTAAAAAAGATTGAAACTTTATTGATTAATTTCAACTATTTCATGCGAATTCTTGTTTATTACTTTACCTTTTCAATAGGGTAGACGGTTTTCTTGCAAGAAACACATTTGTCTTGTGTTCCACCAAACATACTCGATACTTTACTGTTAGATTGCCCCTGAAAGTTTTCACGTAACAAATATTAGTGTCACATCATTTTAAGAATCTATGCAACATGTTTCTTTTAACCCTTTTTAAACAAACATAAAATGGGAAAAATAATATGTATTTTTGTTACATTAAATGGTTAAAAGAAAGCATGTCAATAATGTTTCCAATTATGGAGTACCTGATCAGAAGATCTATCAACTCTAACAGTTTTGGGGGTACCTGTTAAGACATGAAAAGTGATATCGCTTTATGTTTTTGTCATATGTGTAATTGGTTAGATTAATAACCAATTACAGACTTCTTATAATATTACAGTATTTTGTAATAGACTCAAAGATGTATTTTTCTCTATATTAATACAACATTCAACACCTTCTTCACTACATTTACTGTGTGTTCTTGCTCGTATTACAATCATAATTCCACATTTGACCATTTCGTGGATCTAACAGAGTGAATTAGTAGCAAGATTCTGTTATTTTGTCATTATTGAAAGATGTTTATAACTTTTTGGTAAGTAATTAGGAGTACAGGATTAAACTAACCTTCAAAACTCTTATCCAAACTGCCAGTCAATTTGAAGAGCTGATCAAAATGAGGTTGACAGTATAATACTCCTTCAAAAGAGCTGTAATTACTTAACTGCAATAAAAAATCGAAAGATATTACTATTATAATGTGTGCGTTTTTTTTTTATACGAAGGATGTGGTCATTACACAAAACCAAGATCATAAATAGCAAAATTATGAACTAAAGTTTTCAATAAAACTCCATCAGATGAATCAATAAATTCAGTTCTGGCTATTTAAGATCACAAATAGCAAAAATATTAATTAAAACCAAAAAAAGAATACTTAAGTAGCTCATAAATCTTTATCAGATGAACCTAAACTTGAACACTGGTCATTTTAAATCAATAATCACTGTAAGCCAAGATCAAAAAAAGCGCAAAAGATTCAACAAAAGATCAACTTGTGTTACTTTAAATTAATGATCACAGAAAACCCGGATCAAAAACAGCATAAAAGATTCATTAAAACTAATAAACTCCCCTTCAATTATTAAAATCAACTTTGGTTACTTTAAATCAATAATCAAACAAAACCCAGATCAGAAAAGGTGCTAATTAATATTTGCAATAAAACTCAAGAATCAGAAAAAGATATTAGAGCATAATTCTAACAAAAACAGATTGAATCAAAGTTGGGATCATGGTTTACTAATCAGAAGTCAAAAGAAAGAGAAAAACCTTGAGGGTGCTTTTGCAATGGTGACATCTGAAACAAGCTCTGTGATAAACTTTATTATCAACAGTGAGTTCATCCACCAAGTAAACAGTCTTTTCACAAGCCTTACACTTTTGTGTTGTCCCTCCATAGGAAGCCATTTTTGATGATCTTTCTGTATATAGACTTTCAAAGGTTCAACAGATTTCAAGACCCAACAGCGATCGAATCAAGCAACCCAAAAAGAAAACGGAAATCTGTGATCAATCAAGAAAAGGAAAACACTTGGTTGTGTGTGTGTGTGTGTGTGTGTGTGTTGGTGGAGTCTAATAAGAGGGCCGTGGGTTTACAACAAGATCGTCGGGGGGAGTCAAACACTGTTCTGTAGCTGTCAATTGTGGGGTCATCTTGGTAATTAGGCCAGGAGATGGGGCTGATTATTAGGTGGAATTTGTGCGAGATTACCGTATTGCCCTTTCATGTATACTCGACTTTTGAGTTTTTAGGAGGGAATAGATGTCCTCCTTCCGACCAAAAAGTTCTGCGTTTTACAAAAGCAATTCAGATTCGGATGTTCAAACTTCAGAGTGTTCTCACGCTAAATACAAAATAATATATTTATGAGTAAATTACAGTTTTAGTCTCTTTTGTTTACGTTAATCTGCGGTTTTAGTCTAATTCTGAATTTTTGACATGACTTGTGATTTCCAAAAGTTATATGCGTTGTTGTGGTCCCCAAGACTAACTACGTGAATTCTCATATGTTTAATGCGTGTAAGACCTTTTTATTTTATTTTATTTGGTTATATTGACATTATTAGGGGTGAGTTTTTAGTACTAAAACTCAATCCATTAATACAAGGAACCAACCAGTTATAAGTATGAAGATATAAAAATTTCCTTATGTGCATGCTACTCTTGATCTCCATGTTTAAATAAAAATAAGTAATGGTTACCATTTTAAAATCAAATCACCATTATAAATTAAGATATAAGATCATCTTCAAGTACTTGAAGCATAGGCGGATCCAAGGGGATCCCGGGGTAGCCCGGGATACCCCTCAAAAATTTTTCGGTAGTGTAATTTTTGTTACAAATTCTTCATTTTTTTTCGGTATAATGTATATATATGTATCCCTTAAATTATAAACACAAACAAATAGTAGAGCTATTGGTTAAGGCCTTGCCTTATCTAAGTAAAGCTCTTAGGTTCAATTCTTGCTCCTTGCATATTCTTTGTTTATTTTTGTTTTATTTTCCCAGCTATTCTATCTCACATCGCCAAATATATGTAAACTCAACCATTTTTGTCTATTATATAAGCATGTTATCCTCATACTTTATTTGATATCTACTTTGAATCCCACATCGATTCAAGAATCAAAATATACTTCAACTTCATGTTTATATAACAAGACTTGAGGTTAGCTAAAGATTTGATTAAGGTTTGGATTTAAAACTGAAATTGAACCGGGGAAGCCCAAGTACCCCGGAAAATTTTTTGGGTTACCCTAAAAATAAAATTGGGATACCCCTTTACTTTGATCCTGGCTCTGCCACTGACTTGAAGAAATGATCGATTTGTGCCTCTGTTGTCCTTTTGTTTTGCGTATTATAGTTGAAGCAAGAATAATGGAAGCAACTAAAGCAAGTCGCATAAGAATTTATTTCTTGTCATGCAATCTTGTGTCTATTTTTTTTTCCTGAATGAATTCACGTAAGGATGATATATCTTTAAGCCTTTATTCTTTGCTGTTATACCTCTTTTTTTATGAGTTCATGTTAGAGATCATCTTCATCTTCAAGTAAGAGATCATCTTCACCTGTAATTGTTTACTATCATGCCTCTTTTATTTCGAATACATGTGTTTAGGTCATTCAAATTTGATTATATTGATACATGTCTGTATGATAGATTACTTAGTTGTTATTATAATTAATTAGAATTGTTAGAATCATGTGTGATAATGATATGTGTTTTGGTAAAGTTTAGGGACCTAAAGTAAAACTTTACATAACTATACTTTAGTTAAGTAAAATTTTAGTTTTGGTACCTAAACTTTCGAAGGTTATTGATTCCTACCCAATTTCCCTTTTTTTATAACACTATATATACTTTCAGAAAGTTGTTATTTTGGTCTCTTAACTTTTAAAACTTTAAGTTCCCACCCATTTCCCATCTTTTGTAACATTCTAGGTATTTTTAGAAACTTTTTTGTCCCTAAACATTCCACAATTGCGGCTTCATACCCAATTCCCGTTTGTTTTTTTATTTATATTTATTTATTTATTTATTTCTTCAAATAACAAATACTTCAAGAAAGTACAAAAACCCCCCCAAAGTTAATTGTTTCGTAGTTTACTCATTTAATTAATATACTTAACTACTTAAGTCGTTGTATTATTTAATGACATTTAATGCCCTTTAATTAAATTTTTTTTTGGAAACGGCCATTTAATTAAAAGCACCCAAACAAAGCAAGAAGCTAAGCAGAGACAAAAAGGGAAATCAAACAAAAGGGTACAAGAGCAGAAAAAGAAGAGAAAAAGAAATTACATCAAATAAAATGGAGAATTATACTAATTCACCCAGTTACATGGAATATCCGATCCCCTACATTTGAACCATAAATATGTCAATGATTTAATGTATTCCACTCCCCTCCATGGTGTAGTGAATATGCCCCGAAATATCCTATCATTCTTGAATTCCCATATTCCCCAGATGAAACCATAACATATAACCAAATATTCTTCTCTTATTCAAGCTAGTACCCCAAGTGTTAGTAAACTGAAGTAGTTCACTAACAATATTAATTTGGTTTGAGCCAACTCCACACCACTTGAAGATTATATTCCGTACGTGTTGTGCAAAATGACAAGATACTAGCATATGGTCTACTGATTCATCTACACCAACACAAGAACCACACATGGTCTCACTAAGGCTAACACCACGATGAGCAAGTGTCACACCCCCGAACCAGACGGCGGAAACGTCCGGGGACGGGTGACTTCATCTTGTAATATCATCACAGTGTATATAATTGAATCATAGACAACATCATCACCATAAATGAAATATAACAACCATCATAGTTTTACATCAATGTGTTTGTTCACAAATTACATCACAAAATGTTAAATGTATGATAAAAACAAAAATACAACAAAAGTCTGCATTTCTTTGACAACCGACCTGATTAACGAGTCCCTGAGAATACAAGTTATTTTGAAAACGTCAACATATATAATGTTGGTAAGTTCAAAAGCATGTTTGTATGAAAAGTTTTGCATCATTTTGTAAACACCAGAAATCCGATATTTCCGTGAAAATAGTTTGAAAGTTTTGTTTCAAATCTTGTATTAAAGCATGCGTGTTCTTGCTTGGTAGTGTAAAAAGAGTGCTTCCCA